CCGGGGGGGGGGGGGGATGGAACTGGGAGGGGACAGACTTCCTAGTCTTGTCTCCAACACGTTTGCCAGTGGGTTCTTGGGGTTGGCCGGATGATCTCCAAATCTGCAAGAGCTCTGGAATCTGACAACAATGACTCCCTTCAAAGTCTCAAAAAGTCTCTGACCTGACAGTTCTCAGCCAGGGAGTCCCACCCAGCTCTCTCCACAGAGCGAGAGTGGGTTCCAAATCAACTCTGCCGGTGGTTGTGCCCAGGCCGGGTTTCTCTGCCTCAGGGGCCCTCGCCAAGCCCCATGTGGGGGAAGGACGCCTAGCAGGCCTAGGCCGTCTCCCACAGCTGCCCCAGGCGCTGGGCGGGGGCCTCACCCTCAAGCCCCGCACCTCGTGAGCCCACCTACCTGTCATCATCGCTGTCCAGGTGACCGCTGATGGCCAGCATGGTGCGAGCCAGGCTGAGGCTCTGGGCTGCCGCCGCCCCAAAATCTGGAGACTTGTGAACCAGACTGGCATCGGGGAAGAAGTAGAGGCCCGGGGAGGTGGGGCGGGCGTCGAGTGGAGGCACCTGGGGGCGAGAGGCGGGAACCGCTGCATGAGAGAGACAGAGACAGAGAGACGAGACGACGGAGAGGCCAGAGAGGGCCAGGAAGCTAGAACCAGCTACCTTACAACTTGCCTGGGAGGCTTCCTCCCTCCCTCCCCACCTCCCCAGCTTCTTCCAGGGACCCAGGCATCCGGCCTCCACAGCCCTACCCTCCTGCAGTTCCGGGAATGGCCTTGCTTGGGCAGGTACCAGACTGAGCAAAGGCTGAGTGGTGCCAGGGGTGTCAGAGAGGCTCCCAGGAGGGATGGCGAAAAGCGCCGAGAAGAGAGTCCAGCACCCCTCAGGGGCCTGAGCCTGGGTCCCGGTCAGAGGCTATCGGTCTCTGCCTTCTCTCACCAGTTGCCTCTTAAAGCAACTCCAATATCACTTCCTTCGAGGGGCATTTCCCATCCTTCGCTAGGCCACTGAGCGGTTTCACTTTTTTGTAGCACCCAGCCGTATCTGAAATTAGAGTATTTATAGCGTCTCCCCTGCTAGAAGGTCAGTTTGCACCGTGGCTATTCGCAGAATGAATGAACGCTCAGAAATCGCTCCTCCGTCCCCCCCATCCTAGCCTCTCCTCGCAGACTTCTCAGGACTCAGGTGAGGTTCCGCGCCTGCTCCTTGCCCCGGTTTGGGGTGGGGGGGTGGAGATGGGGGGAGGCGGAGCCTGGGCGTGGACCCACACGGCCCAACAGGCGCTGGGGGCGGCTGCGACAGGGCGGGGGCGACAGGAACAAGACAAGACTCCTCTGTGAGGCCCCAGGAGGCCCTCGCTTCTCGGAAAAGCCAAGCACAGAGAGTCCAGGGCGGTTAGAGGGACAGAGCCGAGGAAGGGGGCCCAGGTGGCGTCCCCTGGCCCTCGTCCACACCCCCACCCCAGCGCTGTCAGAGGGAGGAGAGACATGGGGGGATGGAGAGGGGAGACACGCTTCTGGAAGGGAACGGTGACACGGATGCGTGCACGCGGGAGGCTGAGGACGCGGGGAGGGGGGGGGGAAGGAAGGGGTGCGGGGGCGCTGAAGAGGGCAGGGTCTGTGAGCCCAAGAGAGGCTCAGGCCGGGCTGAAGGACGGAGGGCAGAGAGACTGGGCCAAGGGGGCTTGCTTTGGAAGAGTCTGGAGACAGGGACCGGTAAAGGACACGGCATCCTCTCCCCCGGGTGGGAGCTGAATTAAAAAGCTCCAGAAAAGTTGGGGGGGTCATGCGAGTTGTGAACTCGGGGCGGGAGGGGGTGGGTGGGGGCAGCCGGTCCTGACTGGTCCTGACAGGACCCAGACATCCAGTCTCAGGTTATTTTTATGCTGTGGTTTGTGCCCAAGGCCAGGAAGGGGGAAGAGCGCTCGTCCTCACACTCCCTGCCTTCTCCCGGCAGGCCAAGGTGTTATTTTCTGCTTCATGACAGAAGCATCCAGCCCCCACCTCCCTGGCTGCTCGCCCCCACCCCAGGGACCCAGGCATCCTGACCCCCAGCCCAGACTTGTTCCTCTTTTGGAGACAGGAAGCAGGAAGAGCAAAGGCTTTAGCTCCTTCGGGGCTGCCTCCCGCCTCCTCGGTCCTCAATCCTGGAGAGGCCCAGATGCGGGGAACTGAGAGGAGCACGAGGGTGAAAATATTTCGGACGAGCCCGCAAGCCCCCATCCCTGCACGTGGTCCTCCCGCCGTGCCTCAGAGAAACCCGGCTTGCCACAGAGCTGGAGCCGGGGAAGCCCCCGTGCTCGGGGCAGGGCTGCCGTGGAGACCTGCAGGGTGGAATGCCTGGCTTTTCCCTCTCCTCCCCAAACCCTGGCAGCTCCTCCCCGCCGGGGGCCGGCTGAGTTAGCAGCCGGGGCCTCCACGGCACCACCTGGAGCCAGGGGGTGACACCAAGACACAAAGAAGGTGAAGTCCAGGCGAGGAGGCCACACACGCTCCAGGCTACGTGGAGACCACGGCCAAAGACAACACATCAAAGGCCAGAGAGAAAGAGAGTGGAGAAACGGGGACGGAGCCGGAGAGAGAAAACAGAAGGGCAGGAGGAAAGGACTTCAAAGCGACAGGCAGGGAGAGGAAGAGGGCTGTCTGCGCGGCCACGGTGGCGAGGGGGCGGGCCGAGGCAGGGAGGCCCGGAGTGGAGGCTGGGCGGCGGCCGCCACGGCCGAGCCCGGCTCTTACCTGCCCTGGCTCCTCTGGAGCCGCCAGCTCCATCCTCAGTCGCGGGTCTCCATCCCTCCGCCGGGACAGTGGAGGGGTCCCCGCCGCCGGGCCCCTGGACTCCACCTCC